GCACACACACAGGATTCAACAAATCAACAAATGAACAAAAAAAAAATCATGTTTTAAATGAACACAACATTCAGTTAGTTTTCCTACCTGAATATCCCCAGAGAAGTTGTTGTGCTAGAATATAATTAAATTCATTCTTAGAAAGACTAGGATTTTCAAAACTTTCACATGATGACTACAGAAATTCTGCATCTTAACACAATGCTGTCTGTAGAATATTTACACATCTTTATGTAAAAGTCACAACAAAATTCTAGACAGAATATATATTTAAGATTTAAAGATACATTTCAATGCAAATTAAAACTAAACTATCTAACTGCTAATTATATGCATAAACTATACTGCATTCATGTGGTAAACCCGTGGGCTTTTTGACAGTCTATCATCATACAACACCCAGAGAGTGTATATAAAAATTGAAAAATGGAAGAAATATAATTTTTAAACATTTTAATATCTATACATAATAAATGTACAATTGATTCTCAGTTTATGCTAAAGAATGGGAGAATTTATCAAACAATTTCACTGCTTGCTTATGGAAACCACCAATAATCACAAAGTTCTAAGAATTGTTCCCATAGACAATTAACCCTTCTTGGCCTAAGCAAGCAATTTAGTCTATCAAGTAAAGTGCTGCATCTATGTGGGATATGTTTGTACATTTGGGTGCCTTGGGTTCAACCTTGAATGTGAGATACATGTAATAAGTATTATCAGAAGAACTGCCTTGCTGGTAGGCATTTGTCAGTCAGGCAACATTAAGTGCTAGAGTGCTAGACACTGTTTCAGACCTTGTCAATATCTAATGCGAAAGGCAGAAATTACATACATAATTACAAGTAACTACACAAGTACAGGTGTGTGGTGCTGTGCTGAGTCCAACGTTGTGGAAGCATTCATGGGTTACATGAAATAAGAGTATCAGGGAGTGAGATGAAGAAGGTGGGCATAAGGAAAAAACCACATGCTTACATTCAAGGGAAGAAAAGAACATGTCCTCTAAATATGAGAACAATCGGGGAAAAAACAAAACCAAGGAAGGAGATGAGTAACAGCAAACATGTATTTAGCATTCCTTTGTACCAAGCATATTTATAATGCCCAGAAAAAAAAAATAGAACCAGGTAATTAAAAGCCTTGTAGGAAGTGCTAAGGATCTGGGTCTTTTTGTTAAAAAACAAACAAACAAAAAAAAAAAAACAGGAATCCGTTCGGAGGTTTTTGATAAAAGATGGGAAAATGATCTAGAAAGACTAAGTTCTCATAGTGCTCTGTCAAGTTAATTAGAGAAAAGTGGACATGAGGAGATACAGACACAGTGGCCTGAAGGAGGATAAAGGTAGGCTTGAAATGGCCAAAGAGATTTCCTAACAAATAGCCCTTTTCCCCAGCAAGTAACTGTGGGTATGGTAGCCGAAACATCTTCACAGCACAAATGTAAAACTCTGTGAAATACAGCTACCTCTATACCTGAAGCTGGCCCTAAAACTGTCATATTTTCTAAATATCTGTATAAATGTTTATGAGAGGTCATCATCTCTTCAACAAATGAGCAGTAAACATCATGACAAAGTTGTATCAAAGTGAACACAGAAAACATGCCGTTCCTCAGGCAAAAAGCCTGGAGTCTTATAGAGTCCAAGCAAAACAAACACTACCCTCTCAGACTTGCCACCCATCTCTGCTGCCCAGTCCATTCTCAACATCTGACAATAATACAAATAGGTTCCTGGTGCTAATCTGTTAGGAATTTGTCTCACTTGACTGCTTGTTTCTAGTTGTTTCATTTAAAACCCATTTTCCTGCTTTTTTAACTATTCCCATATCCTTCTAATTTCTGATATTCATCCATTTACTCATGAAGCTTAAATAATCTAAACCTGCAAAAAAATTAAAACGAAGAAAAACTAACAAAAACTTTGGCCCCAACTTAGCAATTAAAGTTATTTAAAGTCTTTAATTTTCTTGAGCTTTTCAAATGGAGATAATGACATGGGTTCTGCTACCTCACAGCTGTGGAGAACAAGCACAATAATAGAAGATACCACAGGTCAATGGCAGCATTTGCCTTTCACTTTTACAGTCTGGTTCTCACTATCCTGACCCACACTCCCGGATGGAATGTCCCAGCAGATGTCCAACCAAACTTGTAAACTAAGCACTTGGTCAGGTCCAAGAATACAAAAACAATGACCACCCTCCTCTCAAGGACCTCAGAGTCTAGCTCAGAAACAGCAGGACAGTAGTAATGCACAGTGGACTGAACAGACTATGTATTCAGTTCCAAGAACAAAAAAGAGGTACCTACCTCAAACTTGCAAGGCAGGGTAGAATACAGGGAGAGACATCAAAGAAAGCTTGAGGTGTCTCATGAGTTAAGCATTAGAAGATGAATAAAGGCTAGCTGGGAACAAGGAGAGCAAGAGGCAGTTGAGTAAGATCCTCCAGCAATCATCCCCATAGACAGACCAATAGAACAGCTATTCACTTAACAAATGTCTTTCATAAGAGCCAGAATCAAGCAAACAACCACAGTGCCTTACTTAGGCTTAACAACAAGCAAAGAAATACTAAAGAAGACAGGAAAGCAACAGTTACCATACCACCATTTTTTCAGTTCTAAACAATGCAGCATGGAGAAAGATGCCTCCTGGGGTAGGGAGAAAGAACTAAATTAAGGCCTTAAAGCTGAAGCCCACTATCAAGACCACCACGATAACACCCACTGCCAGGTAGAGTTCTCAAACTACTCCTTGAGGCTAGTACCCACAGACCTCTCAGGACCTATGGAATCACATTTACCAGGTGGCTCAGAGGGCTGCGTCCAGCACCTGTCTACCACCCTTGGGCAGTAGAGAGTATACAAAGACTCCATCCACTAAAAAGCATTCCACGAAGGCTAGCCCAAAACTTTGGGTTCAATGCCAGGTCTGCCATAGTGAGACCCAGTCCCGGGCAGAAAATAGAAGTCCCAGAGCTCAGAGACAGAGCCTCCTGATCTGCCCAGCACGAGGTGGAGATTTGTGTAACAGTGGAACAGGTTCATGTTTCAGCCTACTTTCACTATCGGCCTTAGGGCAGGACTGAGGGATTTCCTCACCAAGATAACTTTTATTTATCTTTTATTATTCAAATCCTGAGCACAGCCAAGCTTTCTCTAGCATCTCACTCTCCCCTTCCCATACCGAAGACTATACAAGTCCCTATACTGTCAGATCTAGTGTAACCCAGTTTAGCCATCAGCTTCAGTAGCCAAGGGATTAATCCTACCATCTGTCTCCCAACCTCAGGTAGCACAGATAATCCCAAGGCAACATTCACAGATGAAACCTCTAAATTTGTCCTGGTATCAGGCAGAGAGATTGTCCCTGGTGGGACAGGTCAGTGTTTTGGCCTGCATCACTGCCAGTTGCAAAGGAGCCTAGGTGCACCAAGAATGAGCAGGTCTTTGTGGCTGTGAGACTAGGGTACAGCCCAGATTTGGGTCAGCTTTCTTGGATAAGGGACTGCCTTCACAAATTCTAACCCAATCCCAAGCACAGAGTAAGGCTCAATTCACTGAAGAACAGGGTGGTTAACATAGGACTTATCGTTAGCATTCAGTGCCAAGTTGGTGAACCTTAACACTGGGCCAATGATAGAGCCTTTGAAACAGTCCTGGTACCATAAGGAGATGTGGTCCACCTAACAGACTTCTAGTCCAGCTAGAATCCTCTGTAGCTAGTTGTAGAAATGTTGGGATATAGCAGTGTGGGCCTTCATCCTATCCCAATGCTATACTGGTTTCAGGGGCTGTGAACCCACAATACAACACAAAGTATCAGTGTTGATGGTTACAGGCATGGCAAGGGCTGGGCTCTCCACAATGATTGTGCCCAGAGCCAAGGAGAATCCTAGATAGTTCCTGAACACAAGTCAGTGACTACAGATGAGACATCTGGGCATACTTGCGCTATCTACCCTGTTGAGGTATTCCCCCAGTTTATGCTAAATAATGCACCAACTGTGAACCTGAGTGAGACAACTTGGCTTATATCGCCTTCCAATGCTGAAAAAGCAACAACATATCAACAGATGATAAATAGCAGAGTTAGGGCATCATCTGGTGCTGAAAACAGTAGAAGTAATTACAGGCTCAGATAAAATGGGGATGGAAAGAATATAAGAAAGCAAGGCTGTGGATGACTATAATGACACAAAGTTTTCCAGACACAACAGGGGAGTTGCACATATACACACACAGCAGTTGTGCATGCACAAAACCTGCACAAACTCAAGCCAACAAAATCTCAGCATGAAGCAGGGAGGTGTGCACAAAGTCCCATCCCTAGTTAAGGTACTACCGGCAACTGAAGGCTGCTGGGAGAGGGAGAGTCAGTTTCTTTAAGGGTATAAAACCCCTAGTATATTGACAAGACTTCAAGGACTGGCCCCACATCTAAGAGTATTTAGATAACACAAATTGGACTCCCTGGGCTTTAAAAGAAAAAAAGGAAAAAAAAAGGGGGGGGCATGAAATTGGGTGAGAAGGGAGTTAGGGGTGGATCTGGAAGAAGTTGGGGAAGTGGGTAAATATGATCAAAATACACTGTATGAAACTCTTTTTTACATTTTTTATTGAATTTTTGTGAATTTCATAGTGTATGAAATTCTTAAAGAATAAAAATATTATTAAAAAAATAAAATCTGGGACTGGAAAGACGTCAGTAGTTAAGCACACTGACTGTTCCTGCAGAGGACCCAGGTTCAGTCCCCAGCACCCACATGGCAGCTAACAACCATCCATAACTGCAGTTCCAGGGGATCAGTTGCCCTCTTCTGAACCCTGCAGGTATTGCATGACATGAGTGCACTTATATACATGCAGGCTATTAATACACTCATACACACAAAGTAAGAATAAATAAGGGCCAGGCGTGGTAGTACAAGCCTTTAGTCCCAATACCTGGAAGGCAGGTGATTCTTTGTGAGTTCAAGGCCAGCCTAGTCTACATAACGAGTTCCAAGCCAGCTAGGGCTCTAGGGAGACCCTGCCTCAAAAGGAAAAATAAAAGAATTTTAAAATTTTTTAAAAGAATTTTAAAAATAAAATCTGAAAAAATAAACAA